CTGAGACCACAGCACTACTGTCAGACTGTACGACGAACACTGAGGGCCTCACACACTCTCTATGACAACTGTGACGTGTACTTTTCTCCAGTGAGATCAAAGAACCACATGTGTCACTGTCACTTAACCCTCATGCTGCCAATATGCTAGCAAGCTAACATGCTAACAAGCTAATATGCTAACAAGCTAACATGCTAACAAGCTAATATGCAAACAGGCTAACATTCTAACAAGCTAACATGCTAACAAGTAAACAAGCTAATATGCAAACAAGCTAACATTCTAACATGCTAACATGCTAACAAGCTAACATGTACAGCTGTAAACATACAACTATGTCTACATTAGAATATACAGGATTTATACTTGCTTTTTTATAATGCTAAAGATAGAGATTGTAGGGCCCCACCCTGAAGCCAGGCCTGGGGTCGGGGCTCGAATGCGAGCGCCTGGTGGCCAGGCCTTAGCCCACGGGGCCCGGCCGGGCTCAGCCCGAAAGGACGACGTGGGCAGTCCCTCCTGTGGGCCCACCACCTGCAGAGGGGTCCGTGGCGGCTCGGTGCTGAGAGGACTGGGCAGCAGTCGAAGGCGGAGACCTCGGCGACCCAGTCCGCACACCCAACATCTGGCTCTTGGGACGTGGAACGTCCCCTCACTGGGGGGGAAGGAGCCCGAGCTCGTGGGGGAGGTTGAGCGATACCGACTAGAGATAGTCGGCCTCACCTCCACACACAGCTTGGGCTCTGGAACCCAACTCCTTGAGAGGGGTTGGACGCTCCACTTTTCTGGAGTTTCTCGCGGGGAGAGGCGGCCATTCTCATTGCCCCCCATCTCAGCTCCGTGTGTTGGAGTTCTCCCCGGTGAATGAGAGGGTGCACCGCCCGGGGACTCCGTCATTCTCCTGGGGGACTTCAACGCCTATTTGTGGGGGACGCCAGTGACACTTGGAGAGGGGTGAAGGGGAAGAACGGCCCTAATCTGAACCCGAGCGGTGTTCAGTTGTTGGACTTTTGTGCTAGTCACAGTTTGTCCATCACAAACACCATGTTCCAGCACAAGGGTGTCCACCAGGGGGCGCCAGGACCTGAGGCCGGAGGTCGATGATCCACTTTGTTGTTGTATCATCTGACCTTCGACCGCGTGTCTCGAACACTCGGGTGAAGAGAGGGGCGGAGCTAAAGAGAGGGGCGGAGCTGTCGACCGATCACCACCTGGTCGTGAGTTGGATCCGCTGGCAGGGGAAGAAGCCGGTCAGACCTGGCAGACCCAAGCGTGTAGTGAGGGTTTGCTGGGAACGTCTTGCTGAGCCCCCTGTCAGACGGACTTTCAACTCACACCTCCAGGAGAGCTTCTCCCAGGTCCCGGCGGAGGAGGGGGACATCGAGTCCGAGTGGACCATGTTCTCTTCCTCTATCGCCGACGCGGCGGCTCGTAGCTGTGGTCGCAAGGTCTCTGGTGCTGGTCCCGGCGGCAACCCTCGAACCCGATGGTGGACACCGGCAGTAAGGGATGCTGTCAGACTGTAGAAAGAGTCCTATCGAGCAATGATGGTTCGGGGGACTCCTGAGGCAGCTGTCCAGTAACGGCAGGCCAAGCGTGCCACGGTCCGGGCTGTTGCAGAGGCAAAAACCCGGGACTGGGAGGAGTTCGGAGAGTCCATGGAGCATGACTATCGGTCGGCCTCGAAGAGATTCTGGCAAACCATCCGGCGCCTCAGGAGGGGGAAGCAATTCTTTGCCAACACCGTGTACGGTGCGGGGGGTGAGCTGCTGACCTCGACTGGGGATATTGTCGGGCGGTGGAAGGAATACTTCGAGGTTCTCCTCAATCCCCCCGTCACGTCCTCCGCTCCGGAGGCAGAGGCTGAGGATGTTGGGGCGGATACTTCCATCTCCCTGGCAGAGGTCACCAAGGTGGTTGGTAGCCTCCATGATGGCAAGGCGCCGGGAGTGGATGAGATCCGTCCTGACTATCTAAAGTCTCTGGATGTTGTAGGACTGTCTTGGCTGACACGTCTCTGCAACATCGCGTGGCGATTGGGGGCGGTGCCAATGAAGTGGCAGCCCGGGGTGGTGGTCCCTCTCTACAAGAAGGGGGACCGGAGGGTGTGTTCCAATTATCGTGGGATCACACTCCTCAGCCTCCCCGGTAAGGTCTGCTCCAAGGTACTGGAGAGGAGGCTACGGCCGATGGTCGAATCTCGGATTCAGGAGGAGCAGTGTGGTTTTCGTCCCGGCCGCGGAACACTGGACCAGCTCTATACTCTCCATCGGATACTCGAGGGTTCATGGGAGTTCGCCCAACCTGTCCACATGTGCTTTGTGGATTTGGAGAAGGCGTTCGACTGTGTTCCCCGGGGTGTCCTTTGGGGGGTTCTCCGGGAGTACGGGGTCCTCTGCTGAGGGCCGTCCGGTCCCTGTATGACCGGAGCCAGAGCTGTGTTCGCATCAGCAGTAAGTCAGACCTGTTCCCGGTGCATGTTGGTTCACTGTGTTTATGGACAGAATTTCTAGGCGCAGCCAGGGGCCGGAGGGGTCCGGTTCGGGGACCACAGGATTTCATCTCTGCTGTTTGCGGACGATGTTGTCCTGTTGGCTCCAACGAACCAGGACCTACAACATGCACTGGGACGGTTTGCAGCCGAGTGTGAAGCGGCTGGGATGAGAATCAGCACCTCCAAATCTGAGGCCATGGTGCTCGACCGGAAAAAGGTGCCTTGCCCTCTCCAGGTCCTGGTCTTCTCCAGGTCCTGGTCCTCTCCAGGTCCTGGTCCTCTCCTGGTGGGTGGAGAGGTCCTTCCTCAAGTGGAGGAGTTCAAGTATCTCGGGGTCTTGTTCACGAGTGAGGGAAGGATGGAGCGTGAGATTGACAGGCGGATCGGTGCAGCGTGCGCAGTGATGCGGTCGCTGTATCGGACCGTTGTGGTAAAGAGGGAGCAGCGTCTGCAGTCAGAGCTGTATCGGACCGTTGTGGTGAAGAGGGAGCTGAGCCGAAAGGCAAAGCTCTCGATTTACCTTCGTTCCCTCCCTCACCTATGGTCATGAGCTTTGGGTAATGACCGAAAGAACGAGATCGCGGATACAAGCGGTCGAAATGAGCTTCCTCCGCAGAGTGGCTGCTCCCTTAGAGATAGGGTGAGGAGCACGGTCACACGGGAGGAGCTCGGAGTAGAGCCGCTGCTCCCTTAGAGATAGGGTGAGGAGCTCAGTCACACGGGAGGAGCTCGGAGTAGAGCCGCTGCTACTCCACGTCGAGAGGAACCAGTTGAGGTGGCTCGGGCATCTGTTCCGGATGCCTCCTGGACGCCTCCCTGGGGAGGTGTTCCGGGCACGTCCCACCGGGAGGAGGCCCCGCGGAAGACCTAGGACACGCTGGAGAGACTATGTCTCTCAGCTGGCCTGGGAACGCCTTGGGGTCCCCCCGGACAAGCTGGAGGAAGTGTGTGTGAGGGAAGTCTGGGCGTCTCTGCTTAGACTGCTGCCCCCGCGACCCGGCAACGGATGAAGCGGAAGAAAATGGATGGATGGATGCATATACACTATGTCATTTTACCTGTATTTATTATCGTCTTTATCAATAATGCGCACTTCTTCAGCCGGTTCTTGCAATCGCTAGCCGTAGTTTCATACTGTGGGGAGAACAAGTAACACGCAGAGGAGTGAGGGACTATTCACTCTCTGACGCTCTTTGGCAGTCCCCGTGTGTTTTGTATCTCACAGGGTTTGTACCTCACGGGTCACTGCTTTGGACACGGACTTTCAGGACACAGTCCTAGTTTATCCTCGTGCATCGCACCGACAAAAGCCTGAAAAGTACTTCACAGAGGAACAGTATCGTTGCTACGTTTTACGTTTCTCGGAGTAAATTGATCATTTGTAAAAACATTGGCGCGTGCATACAGCGCTGATGAGACGGGTTCATAGGGTTAAGGCAGCAGAGGCGAGTTTTCACCTAGTAAATTGCTTTAAACCAATTTTTACATTTCCATGACTACTACTAAACTGCAGTTATGTATCCTGTGTCATTGCAAGTTTGACACATCTGATGAGGAGCAGGATTGTAGGGGAGACGGGGTCACCACACGTGCAGTTGGAGGAAGAAAATAGAAGGGATGTGGCAGGAGAGGAAGTAGGAAGAAGAGGAGGTGGAAGGAGAGGAAGAGGAAGAAGAGGAGGTGGAAGGCAGAGGCGAGAGGATGGAGAGGGAAGAGAGGAAGAAGAGGGAGGCGGCTGTCCATCCCTCAGTGTAATAAGAATTGTTTTCGGGTCATCCTGTGTACACTACTGTTGTCCTGGGCCAAGACACTTTCACCTACCTATTCTGATACTTACCTTTTATTTCTGCCTCATGTTCTTTGGACTTGCAGCTTTGCAAGTGGGTGGAGCGCCAAGAGAGGGAGGATCGGTCGTCAGGGCCGGCTCATGGTTGCAGGAGGAGAAAGAGGAGGAGCCAGAGGGGGAGGAGGAGGAGGAGACAGAGGGGGAGGAGGAGCCAGAGGGTCCATTAAAAATTGAGGATATTGAGGACATCAGGCAAAATGTCCTCCTGATTGCAGCAGACAAAAGCGTGAGTAAAAATGTTGACAAGGTAGTTTGGGTCCTTTCCCATGATATTGTGAACTTGTTTTATCTTTGGGGAACGCCTTTGCCCGTCACCCCGCCATCATGGCTGGTATTCATCGGACCGGACATAAGGGGGACGCACTTATATTTTAACGTTCCCAAAGAGCATCCGTAAGTAAAGACGTGTTCATGCTTCTCCTTGTGGGCACTGTTGTTGTGTCCTTGAGCAAGACGCCTCCCTTGTATTGAGATCATAGTAAAAGAGCAAAATGTTCCCTTTTATTTTTTCATTTATTTCTTTTACAAAATGCTTCTTTGTACTTGCAGAGGACAGCATGGAGGACTACATGAGCCATATTTTCCGAGCAACTGCTAAAGAGAAAGTACAGCAGAATTGTGTGAGCCAGGCAACCAGGGCAAAATGCTTCGTTGCTTTCT